TGTAGAGACAAGGTCTCGCCAAATTGCCCAGGCTGGTCTCAAACACCTGGGTTTAGTCAGTCTTCTCACCTTGGCCTCCAAAGTGCTGAAAATATAGGCATGAGCCACAGTGCCCAGCTCTCTTCTTTCTCAGAGACTTTATGCCCGGGCAATAGAGAGCAGAAAAGCAATGATGATGGGTAAGGAAGAGAATGAAGTACTAAAACATGGAGCATCAAAATACTCTGCTTCACAAGTGGGCTGGGTAGTGATGGAAAACTTTCCATGCTAAGAAGCCACACACTCACTAATGATGTGTGGCTCATGGTATTCTTTTACATGTATGATAAAAAGTTAGATTTAGTTTCAAACACAGCTTGATTAAGTCGATTTAATCAAGAGGTGGTAATTTAGTGGCAATGGTTGTTTGTATTTCAAGATCATGTTTGTCATTGGGTCTCTTTACTTTGTATTTCTCACCACAAGCCAACTTAATTTTAACTTTCACCATCATGGGCTATTAGCTTCCTCACTGAAATGCTGACACTGTCTCAAAATGGCAGTTGAGTTCTTTAAAAGGGAGGCACATGGTATCCATAAAATAGTAATTGCCCTTCAAGTAGCCTTGGTGCTTATGATCATCCTTGAGATGGCTCACACCCACTCCTCCAGCCTTAATCTCTGTGCCAAGGGTAGGGATGGTAAGTAATGAGACTAGACAGCATTGTAGAATGGTTCTAAATATAGGCTTTGAGATCAGACTGAACAACTGAGTTCAGGTCCTGACTGTCCTACTTATAAGCTGTATAATCCTGGGTGAGTCATTTTGCTTCTCCAAACCCTAACATTATGATCCACGGAAATCCTATTGCACTGAACCAGGTATATGGTAAACCTTTAATAAATTGTAACTATTAGTGCCGTCCTAATAATAAACCTTAGATGTTATTCTCAGGAAGCTCACAGACTATTAGAAGCTAGACAGAAGTTTAGAGATAATTTAACCCAACCCCTTCTCTTTGCAGATCACAAGGACCAGGGAGGTGAAGTCACATAGGAGAGCTAAGACTATGGCATAGGACTCTCTTCTGGTTGACCATGAAGCTCTTAGATCTCAAGGGAGAGAACACATAATAGATACTCAGCTTGTTTTGACCAGTGACAACCCACAAAAGATTGGCTCTGCGTGGCCTGAGGCCCTGGGGAAGCCTGTGGTGGTTCCCAAATGGAGTGTGTTCAGGAGGAAAAGGAAGGACAGGTAGGTGCTGCCAGTGGCCAGTGTCATTTGGTCTCATTAGAAAGTCACCAAACAGATCACTGATAAGATTGGATTTCCCAGCACTTCTAGCCTTCCTCACCATCTGTCATGTCAAATTCTTTCATCTGGAGGGAGCACAACCAATATGCCAGGTGCACTGATGTTACCTTGGTTGCAACTCCATTCCCATAAATAGTGGTATGTAAAAAGAAGACTGTAGAGTGTAGAACCAAAGTTGGCAAACTACAGTTCACAGGCCAAATCCAGCCCACTACCTGATTTGATAAATCAAGTTTCCCTGGAACACTGACAGCCATGTTCACCCATTTACATATTGCCTATGGCTACTTTGGTGGCATAACAGCAGAGGTGAGTAATTAAAACAGACCAAACAACCCGCAAAGCCTAAAATATTTACTATCTGGTCCCTTACAGAAAAGGTTTGCCAACCTCTGGTAGAGAACCTTATCAGCTGCTTAGGAGACAAAGGCCCTCTTCAGGCTAAGGAAGAATCAGCTGATTCCTTCAGGACACTTTTATGCCACTGGCTCAGATTTAATTAATACAACTAAAAAAAATGTGTAGACTTAGAATTCTCTTACAATTCAAAGGCCATCTCTTCTTCAGCGTCAGGGTGAAAGACAACTGTCTACCTACACTAAGGGTGAGTCTAGTGCTGGCCTCCCTCTTTTTCTGGTGCATGGAGGAGATGGGACCAGCTGAAGAGAAAGCCAAGCCCTTCCATGCATTACTTGGATAGTTGGAAGAGCCATATTTTAAGAAATGGGTGTACTATAAACCAGGTACTTGCCATATATCATATTGTTTATTCATTATAGCAGCCCTATTAAGTAATATGACTGTCCTCGTTTTACCGAAAGGTACATTAAGGTCACAGAAATTTGTAACTGCTTGTCCCCATGTTGTCTAACACAGGTGTAGTAACTCAACTACTGAAATGCCTGACTGTTAGAAGTCTGGTCAAAAGTGGCTTAAGTTCACCCACTTAAGTTTAGAGATCTAAGTCACTGTTTCTAGAAGTTTGCACTGCACAACACTATCCTGTAAGAATACTCACTGAAAAAGTCCAATGTCTAGAAAACATTGCATATGTTTCCGCCATCTTGGAAATAACATGATACCATTAGCGAGTTATGGGTTCTGAGAAATGTTCCCAAACATTAAATCATAGAAACCTTTCATCTAATTAACAACATCCCATTTGAAAAACTAGTATTCCAAGGGACACACTTGGGAACTGTTGAACTCGATGATGATGATGATGGTGATTGATGATAACTGTTAATATTTATTGAGTAATTACAAGGAGCTGGGCACTGGAGTAAGTATCTACATGTATTAAATTCATTTAACCTTTACAACAATCCTATGAGATAAGGATTACTCTTTTGACAGAGGAGGAAACTGAGGCACAAAGAGGCTAAACAACTTGCCCAAAGTCACACAGCTAGTAAGTATTAGAGACTATGAACTCCTCAAACATGGGGATCAAGTATTGATTCATTTTTGCATGCCCTACATTTAGCACAGTGCCTGGCACATATAATGCACCCAGGAAACGTCAGTTGAACTGAATTGGAGCTAATAAAAAGAAGTGACTGAGAGTATTGAATAGAACATTTAAAAACTTTAAGTGGTATTCACACAATGAAGTGAATCCCTCATCAATCGGGGTTTCTATTTGTTCCAGACAGGCCTGTAACCTAGATAATGCTCCTACTATAAGCCATTTTGTATAGTGTAACCATGTTCATATTTTATTTAATGTATCCTACTTAAGGTTAATGCAAAGATGATAGTGATGATCTTATTTAGCCACAAGAAATAATATTTCATTTGAAGTTGCATTAAATTGGGCCTTTTGTGTGGCATAAAATATATTGAAAGAGGCAATACCACATCCATAAGGAACTTCTGTATTGGCTTTGTTGGTAAAATGGATGGATTTTTTTTATATAATGCAGTATAATAACAGCTATTGAGAACATCAATATCAGTTTTTTAAATATTACAGACTTAAAAATATATCAAGGTCAAAATCAGTAAATAAAATGCTGATGAATTTTCAGTGTAGATTTGAGGGAGGCCAGGGAGAACTAAAGAAGAAAAATCAACACATTTTCAGCTTTAAAAAGAAGAGAAGCAGAGGCAGCGAGAGAAGACTGTTTTTGTGTCCTGCAAGATAAAAAAGGAAGTTTTATGTTTAGCACTTCAGGAGCTTCAGATGCAGTGATTAAATGGCTCTCATAACTTTAACATAAAGCATTCCTGAATGATAATAGTTAGAATAATGTGTGACACTCACTGAGTGCTTACTATGCTGTTTTAACCATCTTATACACGTACCTCTAAAAGGTAAGTACATTATTATCATCATTTTACAAATATGAAAATGGAGGAACAGAGAGGTCAAGTAGGTAAATTAATTTTCATATGATCCTACCCCAGTGCAAGATGGATTAAGGATCCCAGCAATCTGGTTTCAGAGCCCATGCTACTAACCACTTATACATTGGGCAAAAGAGATGATTCAAAGGCCCAAGGATGTCTGCAGGTCTGGGAGACAAAATAAATTCCACTACCTCTGTCAAAGTATGTCAGAAACTCACTAGGTAGACACCATAGAGCTAAATGTGACCAAGCCGGGTGGAAACCTTGCCCAATGCATAGGCTCTTTCTTGGTGGTTTGTTCAGTGATAGGTTTCCAGAGATTGTGATACATCCACTACTTAAGCATTTCTTTAAAAATAAAATAATTTCTTCAATTTAAGAATATGCATTAGTCATGACAGGTAGAAATCTGTCCCTCCACCCACCTCCACCAGCTGTGTATGCTAGAATTTCTAAAACCCTGAATGACGTGTTCACAATCCGGTCACACACATGCCCCTCCAAAATACAGTCAACCATTTGTGATTGTGTTTATGCTGTGATGGTGCATTAGACCAAAAATATTCAGGAACTGCTGCATGCCCTGCAGTATTCAGAAAAGTCCAGGAAAAAAAAAATCCTTTGGAGAAACACAGATGGGCTCCATGTTGATGGAAAGGAAAGATGGAATTTTACAATAAAGCATTGTGCCCAGAGTCTCAGAGTGAGAGCCACTTGAGAGTCAAATACAGAGCCCTTAAGAGAAATAAATTAAGTTTTGAGTAAAAACAAATATTGAAAGTTATATTCATAATTGTATTTTTGTTTCCAAATGCCTGCTTCCCCTTCCTGTTTTGTGAGAGACACTTAAGTCAGTTTAAACAGCCAAAGAATTTGTTTGCAGGGAAGACATGAGAACTGATAGCATATGCACTTTAAGAGATAAATACCAAAGCCTTGGGAAGAACACTTACTACACAAGGATATTATTTAAAGACAGATATAGTTTTAACAAGTAGGTCAGCAAACTGTGATCCATTAATATATGCGTATATCAATTGGCTACAAAATGGAAATTGAATATTTTATTCTCTATCAATGAGCATATAGAAAACATATACACCAAAATACATTTTCATAGAAGATAATTTAATTATCATTTGTAAACTCTGGTTGTCTTGCAATTCAGAACAAGTAAATAAAAACAGCTTCTCCTTTCTCAGATGTATCTTACAAGTTTTATAACGAACTTTCTTTTCTTCTTGAAGTTAATCATCAGTTTAGGGGTGAGCAATCACAAAAAGTATGGCTTACTAAGCAATCAGGCAAGAAGTTGCAGAGCTGATGTTAAAACACAAATATCCCTACTTACCTGGATGGCTCTGACATTGGAAACTGGCTGTTTCGACATATTCACGCAGTCTTATCCCTAAAATAACAAGTAAGAAACTGTTAGAGGTGGCAGCATTCAGATTCTCAGGCTTGATAAATTAGAATTTAACTCATGATTCAACTAGGCAGCCACCCCTTTCACTGGCCATATATTCTTTCAGTCTCAGTTTCCAAAGTTACTTAGTGACTCTCCTTCCGAATGCCTTGGTGTGAGGGAACACTAGAGCACGAGGATAAATCATTCAAGAGGAGAAATGCTGAGATGCCTCGCCCCTGATGCTAATGATATGCAATCAGAAACTTGAAAGGCGCTATCATCTCCTTCCCTGCCCTCCTGACCCTCTGCCAAGAGCAGCAAAGCAAAGAGGTTGTGGGAATAAAACACCTTTGTTCAGGGCCTCAGAAGCTTTTGGTTTGAAACTGAACTTTTGATCTGAATCCATTATTGCCAAGGCTGCCAGTCAGTCTATTTCAAGTGCCTCCTCTTCACTGAACACTCAAAGAGAGATGGTCTGTACCACTTCCTTGCTCCTGCAATGCTCGCGGCTTGTTGTACATATGTCTGTTCTTCCCAGTAACCTGGGGAGATGCTCTGAGGACCTGGGCTGCATCTCCTGGTCCTGTTTACCTCTGCCCCAAAACCCCCACAGGGTGCCTCACACAGAGCCCAGTCTCTGCAAACACATGCAGACAGCAAGCCTCACCTGTTTTCTTTTCTTTCATGGAGGCAAGAAGGACTTACGCACAACTATGTTAGATCCCCAATATGTAGAATTGCTTCCTTCCCAAAGGGCTTTTCTTCCCAAAGGGCTTTTGTTTTCTTTCTGTACACAGACTTGACTTAGAGCAGTGACTAGAGCACATTAGGGAACGTGGGCTGCAGTTTACTAAGGCTAGAGGAGCTTTGGCCTGTTTTTATAGCTTGGTCTATTCAAGATAGACAGGACCAACTGAAAAGTTTTTTAAACATCATTGAATTAAAAAACATCCTGCGTTTTAAACCCAAACTATAAAATAGGTTGAGCGAGTTCTCTCTATTGATTGGTATAAATGTATGTGTTAACCAGTGAGTAACTGAATGCAGAAAGCAGTGTTGGCATTTGCCACAAGTTCTGTGTAACGTAGACAACGTCATTCAACATTTCCAGGCCCACTTCCTCTTCTTTAAATTTTACCTGCCTCACAGGTTCTGGTAGAAATCAAACTTACATAATGCTCCTGAAAATGCTCTGTGAACTATAAAGCACGATGTGAATGCTTATTGTTTATCGCCATTGTCCATAGCTAGTGACTTCTAAGTGCTGTACTAATCTGCAGCTTTAAGTACAGAGTAAGAATTGATGTAGTGATGTTCCTCAACACCTGTCGAGATCAAAGATCTGGGAAGAACTCAATAAAAACAAGTTTTTTGAGATCTTCTAAGTCTTAGGATCTATCACATAAATTTAAGCAATTGCATATTTCTTTTTTTTTTTTTTTTGAGTTGGAGTCTCACTCTGTCACCCAGACTGGAGTGCAGGGGCCACTCCAGGCCACCGCAGCCTCGACTTGCTGGGCTCCAGCGATCCTTCCGCTCAGTCTTCCAAGTAGCTGGAACTACAGGCACGTGCTACTATGCCCAGCTAATTTTTTTGATTTATTGTAGAGATGAGGGCTCGTCAAGCTTCCCAGGCAGGTCTCGAACCCGCGGGCTCAGGCAATTCACTCACCTCAGCCTCCCAAAGCACGGGATTACAGGTTGAGCCACCGAGCCTCGCACAATTGCATATTTCTTAAACCTCTGTAATTACTGTATCCAAATATATAGTTTTGGGAGCCACACACATGAAAACTATGGAAGTTTTTTTTTTTAAGTTTCACCTGAATGTCTTGGTGATATATAGATAGAGCCTTCATGCATAAGGGTTTAGATAGAATTACTTTTCATGTAGTTAAACAATTTAAAAGCAAGAAGAAACTGAACAATCAGTGAACAATTTGCTCTACAATATGCTTGGATTGCTGTCTTTCCTGCAGTGTCAAAAAGAAATGAAGGATTTTACATTTTTGGATCTAGGACACACAGCTTAATTCCAAAAAGAAAAGCTTAATGGTTTAATCATTAATGTTTCTATTCCTCAAAAGCTGTTAGAAGTCATGCAAAGCAATAATTTTCACAGGACTTTAAATGTCTCTGCATATAGTGTTCCCTGTGTATGTACAACTAAAGTTTAATATCACTTGGGAACTTTAAATAATTATTGTACATCGATTTGAAATGGGGATTAGGAAATTCTTTTATGTTATGTCAATGGCGGGTTGAAATGTTTTTTAAAAGTAGGCAACAAAAAACCAACAAAAATAAATAAATAAATAAAATTTTAAAAAGTAGGCAACAAATGATTGTGTTATTTATACTGCATTGGGTTTTTTTTTTTTTAAAGCTTATTTTTTTTTCACTGAACTGATTGCACTACTAGATTGCTTTTGTTTCTTGAGGACCTCTGATCCTAACGGATGGATGGGTCTTGTCTCCTGTATAGTTTTGGTATATATTCATTTACATACAAATATCTTCTTAACATACATATCAATCTTTGAAAGAGATACTACAGAAAGTTGGTCAGATCTCAGCTCGCCTTCCTTACAAACAGGCTAGATAACATTTGTGTAAATCAGTTCAGCAGCAGTTCCTGCTGTCCTCATTATTCACAGAGAAATCAGGGCAAAGCACACTGATGAGTAAAAATAGACAGTCTTCCCTGGCTGTTTCCCTGGCCCTGCGTTTACCTCCGTCAGGGATGTACAGTGGAGAATGCACCTCCCTTCTTCATCTGTGTGCTTCATCCCAGGACCAAAAAAGAAAAATGTGCCTTAGAGACACACTCCGCTCCCACCGGGGCCACTGCTTTTCATCCAAAGAGGTATTGTTTACAGCACTCGATTACTATGTCTCCTGGTTCTGTCTAAAATTTTGCAACATGGAAAGTTTGACAGGGCATATACTGACTTTTACAAAGCTCATAGTATAATGGAAATGCTTGCCAGGTGAGCACTGGTGAGTTTTCCTGGCAGTTCTGCAAGTCAGTGGGGACCTTTAATGGGCTGTATGCTGAATCATGTGCAATATGCTTCTGCTTGTTTTTGATCAGGTGGCACCTAATATCTGATTTCTAAATAAAACTCTTTGGCTTACTAAAAATTTGCCAACATTAATGCTGCTAATTTAATAACAAGGATTCAGAAGAAAAGCAATCGATATTTCAAGAGAAGGGCTTTGTTCTTTTGAAAGGTCGAATAAGTGGATAAACCTCCATCTCAGAGGGAATTATCTTCTGTCCTGCAGCTAAAAATAATTCCTGAGAAGAGTGTAGAAAGAGGTTCAGCTGTCTGAACTGACTAACTCCTTATTCACTCTGCCTGAAATATACTGAGAGGGAAGGGGCACTTAGCGTTCCCATGCTTCACGACCTGGTGTCCACACAGAAAGGGACAGTGAGTGCTGCCCTCTACCCTGCTGAGTATGGGAAAACTGTGACCAAAGTGAAGCTTTTGAAAAGATGGTTCTCTCTAAGGTATAAGATGTCAGAACTTTATCATTGAGACCAAGACTGGAGCTTAGGGAAAGGAGCAAAGCATTTGAAACGTGTGCTGTGTAACAACTCTGGCAATAATTTGCATTTAGGTAAACCAAAGAACCGGCATTATAGCTTTTCTCTGCCCCAAATTCTCCTGATTATTTCTCGGCTTAGAGCCCGAATCAGTCTGCAGTTGACCAACTGTATTCCTAGCCAGCACAGCTTCAAGGTCACAGTTATCATATCTAGACTGTGGACAGTTTGTTAATACCACTACCAATGAAAAATGCTTTTAGCTCAATATTCTTTCAGCGCCCTCACCCCTCACAATTTACAAACAGAAGTAGCAAAACCACCAATGAACAGTGAATTTACAAGGAAGCTACACCCACTGGTTACAAGCCTACAAAGTTATAAGTAGTCACTTCAAGTTAGGTATCAAGGAAATTTCCTTTAGAAAGTCCAGTTGCCAGAGCTGAGCCCTTCTGCTTACCTGCTTTATGTATTTGTCTACGGCCTAAGGAAAGTCCCAGGCAGATGGGTGCAAGAATACAAAGCTCCTTGGACGGTGGAAGGGATGCCCGGTGTCCTCTGAGCTGTGATCTCAATTCCGATGCTTTTCATGTGGCTGAAATAGCTCAAGCGCTCTGTGCTTCTCCCAGTATTGAGAGCTGCTCCTGGCTCGGGGCTGGAGGGGAATTCGGTTGAAGGCTAAGTGTTAAAGAGAATTCCTGTCATAGCTCACAGTTGTTCTTCCTAAATATAGAGTTTGATACAAGGCATACGCTGGCTGCCTCCAAAAGGCTTGACCGTGCGGAAAGCAGGGCTCAAATGTCAGCTGGGAGGTGGCTACGGTATCTTACCATCCTCCTAATCTTCCAGAAGATGCTGGCTGTATTTTCTCACATTCTGAGGGGGTATAGCAAAATTTTAAAAGTTTATCTTTAGCTTTATTATCTGGAGGACAGAAGATGAGGCATGGTCAATAAAAACTGGGGAAGGCAGCATGGCACCATGCCTCTTAGCAGGAGTACTGATAGCACACAGAGTTTGAATCCTAGCTTCGTCACTTGGGAGCTGTTAAAGTTATAATCAGCACTCAACAAATTGTCACCAAACAATGATAGTTATCCTAGTAAGTTGAACTGAATGACATTTTCCTTTTTGTAGGTCAAAAATGGTGGAAGATCCACAAGCCAGTGTGGTTCCAGGGCCCAGAACCCTGCTCACTCTGCTCTACTGCCTCTACTGGTGACGATGATTTTGACTCCAGAGCACAGGAAACAATAGAGCAGAACAAAACAAAACAAAGAAGAAATGTCTATTTTAAATATGACAAGGGTTAGGACCAGGTACGGGGCAAAACATTTTCTAAACAGAACACTGCCAAATCCTAAAATACATGTTCACCATTTGCAACATACTTTTAGTTTAGTTGGGTTTTTTTTGAACTTTTTCAGTCTCTGAAATTACCTTTTTGTAGAACGTCCCTTCAGAAGAAGTATTAAATAGAGTGGACAGATTTAAAATCCACCCACTGGATGAAAGTGAGCCCCATGTCTGAGTTCCTGACAGCATGGTCAAGCCACTAAACTATTACCAGTAACCACCTGTTTTCTTGTTACACGAAGAAAAGACACTCTGTTTTGTACAAGCCCCAACTTCACATTTCTGTTTCCTGCAGCTGAATGCATTCCAGATGGAAGCAGTTGGCTGTTTTCAGGTCAATAAAAAGAAAATCAAGTTTCTGGGCATTTAGGAGGACAGCAGATAATTATGGTTCATTTTACTTTGGAGCTCACTGTTAAATTCTATTTATGTGCTGTTTAAAAAGAATTGTGTCTTTAAAACTTGGTTTAGGCATCATGCTTTGAGATCATATGGTGCCAATGTGAGTTCTTTATACACTGAAGAAGAGAACATTGTGAGCACCTCAGTATTTCTCCAAGTGTTTGGCTACTGCTATGTGTTCAGAGTTCTTCACCAGACAAAAGATGGCATCACTCCATGGACCAATAGGAACAATGAACCAGTTTTGATCCTTTTTCCTGAAATCAGTTCGCATATCTTTCCACAGACCTTTTGCCCCAATGTATTTATCCTGACTATATTCCTGGCCAGCACAGCTTCAAGGTCACAGTTATCATATAAGACTGTGGACATTTTGTTAATGCCATTATTAATGAAAAATGACTTTGCGTCAATATTCTTTCAGCACCCTCACGCCTCATAATTTATAAACGGAAATAGCAACGCCATCAATGAAGTGAATTTACGTAGTATACACCATAGTATAAGTGAATTTACATATACACCATAGTAGCTACTGATGGTGTATATGTTGAGGAAATTGCTCCTAGCAAAAATGTCTTGTACATGGGCCTGGCCCATTATGGGCGTGGCTTCCTCTGTGGGAAGAGCTGAGACATAAACTGTATAACCAGGACTCTCACAGAGACCCAAGTAGAGTAGTTTAAGCCAAGAGGGGCTGTGGCAGACACTGCTGATGCCTTTCTCAATATTGCCTCTGCCCACCTGAGTTCTCCTGCAGCTGCAGACAGTACCCAGTACATATCAGCTTTGTACTTCAAAAGCCTGAATCTCTCTCCACTGCATTGGGGCTCTCTACATCATCTAGCAGTAGCAGGCAAGGCCCACAAGTGCCAGGGAGCAACACCTCTAGAGACAAGCTTCAACCAATTGGAATGGAAGATGGATGACAGATGTCTTCACCTCCCCATGCTCCGGTCAGATGATTCTGAGGTGTGGTTTTCCAGCAGGACTGAACCCGTTTCCCACAGTGGGATCTGCTTATTAATATACCATTACTGGCTTCTCCTTTCCCTGTCTCACGTCCCCAGTCCCTTGCTTGTGTTCTCTGGGAACATCCCTCAAGTAATCCACTTGCAACCAAGTCCTTGTTTCAGCATCTAGAGTTGAGGCAACCCAAACCAAGACAAACGGGTCCATTGGGAAGGTTTCATATTATGACAGGAAGGGCAAAGATGTAGATGAGCCTCAGAAATGACCAGAATCAAGAACTCAGACCTCACTCAAAAGTCATGAATCTATTTCTCCTACTCTAGTTTTAAAGATCTTAGGGTTCTGGTTGCCCCAGCTTGAATCAGTCACCCACTCCTGGCAAGAGACAAGGTCACCTATAATAGAGGAGGCTGTTGGGGTACACACCTGTGGATTAGGTACATCCCAGAGAGAGGAATAATTGTGAGTTGATCAGCCCTTCCAACTGGGTCTCTCAGAATCACCAAGAAGCCAAGTGTTTTTCCTTGATCTCTTATCATAGCCTGAAATTTCTAATACTGTTGTCACTCTGTCAGCTTAAGATCCCCATAAAGATACATTTGCTGTTTGAAAAGGATAACAGAGGATGTCCCTGACACACATAAACACATACTTGGTTGGTGAGTGACAATTAAGTGCACCCAAGAGAATGGGCCACAAGATGAATCCGTTTCTTATTGGGAAGATCAAGATTTGAAGGAGAAGACAGGGCTCGGTGGCTCAGCCCGTCATCCCAGCACTTTGGGAGGCTGAGGTGAGTGGATTGCCTGAGCCCGCGGGTTCGAGACCCGCCTGGGCAATTTCACGAGACCTCTTCTCTACAATAAATAAAAAATCAGCCGGGCATGGTAGCGCGTGCCTGTAGTTCCAGCTACTCGGAAGGCTGAGGCGGAAGGATCGCCGGAGCCCAGCAGGTCGAGGCTGCGGTGGCCGGGAGCGGCCACTGCACTCCAGTCTGAGTGACGGAGTGAGACTCCAACTCAAAAAAAAAAAGATTTGGAGGAGAAGTTGGGAAAAGAAACCAATATCCTTGTATGGAAAACAAACAAGTATGGAAAATGGAAAGTTAGAGGGTACTGGGCATTAAGTGGGCAGAATGGGACTTTGTGGCATACTTCAGGGGAGATCACCAAAGAGGGGCATAGTAGTAGGGGGTGTTGGTAAGAAAAAAAATTCATTTAAGTCATTCCTACTTGCATGTTTTCATCCCTCCTCCACGACAGTCAAACAGCAGTAGGATAGCTAGCAACACCTTACATCTACATGGCCTATTTTCAGTTGTAAAGTGCTTTCATTTGTATTGTCTTACTTAGTCCTCCCTGTGGGCTAAATGGTATTATTTACATTTTATAGATAAGTAAGTCAAGGCTCAAAGTGGTAATTCAGAGGCAGTTATCCTCAGTTTGTTATCACAAATTTAGAGCTCTTTCCCGTTATACCATAGAGTCCTCGAAGAACCACACTCACACGTGTCCCCACATTAGCATATAGAAGTATAGCATCAATTAGGATACATTTGGTTAGAAGTGACAAAACACATTACTAACAGTGGCTCAATCTATAAAGTCATTGAATATCTCACAAACCCAGGAACCTAAAGGGAAGTAGTTCTGGGCTGGCTCAGAAATTCTATGAAGTCAAAAAACCCAAGCTCTTCCCAGTTCTTCTCCTCTGTCACTCTCAACAAGTCAGATTTGCATCCTAATGCTTCTTACCTCATGTTCTCAAGGTGGCTGCCACAGCTCTAAGAATCAGGATATCTCATGAACATCCAAACAAGAAGAAATAGCAGTAATGGTGGGAAATGGGGATTTTCTTCTCAAGGAGGAAACACCCAGACGCCTCCAGCTGACCTCCCTTACATCTCATCAACTGGAACCGGGTCTCATAGCTGTAAATGAGGCTAAGAAAATAAATAAAGAGCAGAGGATGAATGAAATAGCAATAATTACCTAAGATCAAATGCCCCATATAAAATCAGGTTGTTTGCTCTTAGCAATGAAAAAGGGAGGAAACAGCAATGTTATAGATGATACATGCACACACATACAAAACTTTAATGGAAAAGGTGCTTTCACACACACAATCTCATTTAACAGGTGTAGTTTATTTTATAAATGAAGCAGGTGTTGTTTTTTTATAAATGACAAACACACTGAAAAAGGTCAAGTGACATGCCTAGGAAGTGGCTGAGTTGAAACTCTAATCTAGGTCTTTAGGCTCAAAATTCCATGTGTTTTCCCCTGTTCTGGTTCACATAAACCAACATGGAGATCCAGGCTGCCCATACCATTGTCCCATTCATGACTCTTATCATGTACCCTAAATTACAGGCTTCTTTCAGGTTCCTGTTTGATTGGTTTTACCTTGTCTTGGGTCTGCCTACGGTTTGGGCAAATAGTAAAATAAACCATATTATGGAAGTTTGCAAGGAATTAATAGATAACTCTTTGTACCATTATGTGCAAACATGTAAAACCCAGAAAATTTATAGGCTGGCAAGTATAAGGAAAATTAACAAATGAAGAATGATTAACTAGGAAGAAATGATTATTAAAAATAAACTATAAGGAAGGGATTGGTAGTATTAAAAATAAACTATAAGGAAGGGATTGGAATACTGCTGAGGTGGAGGGAGGGGGACACAACATCAGTAAGAGTACCTGATCTCAAACCAGGCAAAGTGGGGACCAAAGGGAGGCCCAAACTTTACTTGTAGGATGTCCACTTGTATACCCAATCCTGAATTGTATCCCACATCTTTAAAATAAAATACAAAAATTTAAAAAAGAAAATGTGATTTTTTAAAAATAAAAATAATCTAGCTACGATCTATGAAAACATTTTCATTTTTCCATAATATTAACTTCTATGTTCAATTTTAATTTTTGACACCATGACTATGATCAAATCAAAGCTTGTTTTTAATCAAGGAAAGCAGGTGATAAAGTTCGTTCCCTTGGATGCATGCTGTGTGATGACATCCTTCCTTCCCAGCAGATACTGGCACCTTTAAAAAGACTAGTGTACAATTGTGGCCCACCGTGCCTACCT